AAAGAGAAAAGAAGAAGAGGAAAGGAGGAAAGAAAAGAAAAGGAAAGGAAAGGAAAGGAAAGGAAAGGAAAGGAAAGGAAAGGAAAGGAAAGGAAAGGAAACATACATCACTGGAAGATGATGAAAAAAAGACAAGGATTTGTATGGAAAATCCAAATGGGGAGGGAGGGAGGGATGAATACAGACAACTATTTTAAAAAGTAAAACATTCTTTGAATTGAGCTCCATCCTGGTGATTTCACGTATGTGTGCACAAAGTTTTCTTGCTAACAATATGTAATTGATTTACCACTGCCTTTTGGAATATGTGTATGTGTGTGTGTGTGCGTGTGTTTGTGTGTTTATTTTCCAGTCTAGCCTACAACCCTGGTCCCATCCAAGTATCAATCAGGCCAATCCTGCTTTTTTGAGATCAGCCAAGGTTAGCTAGGTACAGCCACCTAACAAGGCTAAAAGTAATTATTTTAAATATAAATATAGTATAACTCATCATAGTAGGAAAAACTATTACCATACTTGTGGAGTTTCTTAATTGCTAAAAGGCAGCTTCAGACTCTCCCTGTGGTTATCTCTTTTTAAATCAAGCATGGATTGGAAGGAGTGCTTCTCCACTGAAGACAAATAACAGATACATAGAGTTTCATTTTCCTTCTCTATAACTCTAGAGCAGCTACATACACAAGGGTTGAAAACCTATGGCTTGAAAACAGATGTTGTTAGACTATAACTCCTAGGAGGCCCAGCTAGTATAGTCAATAGCAAGCGGTGTAATGAGTTGTAGATAGGGAGAAGACACTAATTCCTATGAAAGAGATGATGTGTTTAATCTTGAGAAGACAAGACTAAGGAGCAAATATCTGACGGAATGTCACACAGAAGTAGTTGAGGACCTCTTCAAATGCATCCAGTTAATTACTATACGACACAGAATGCTTGACTAAATGAGCTTTTCTTTTCTTCTGTTTTTTGGACCTGTTTTGAATCACCCAACAGTGCAGGTTGAAGAATAATGGATT